GGAGGTGCCAGTATAGTTGTGTCTCCATCACACAATTCACCATTTTATGGGGTTATCGTGGATGTTTATCAGGACTCTGTGAAGGGAAATGTCTCACTTGGCAACAAAAACACACCTTGCACACAACACCTATTAAACAAAGTGCAGTTTTGACGCTTGAGCTTTTGCAACTCATTAAACAACTGAGACCAACAAATGTGCTAATTGGTGAAGTTTAGAGACACAAGGATTTATTTGTGTAACAAAACCAACCGCACAGTCTACATGAAAGTGGACCTGTTGTGCTCGTTTCTAGCGCCGTATTTCTATTCTTGCATTCAACCAGAGAAACTTTGATCAAAAAAAATAAAAAATAAAAAATCCTGATTTGTGTTGTAAAAGCTCTGGATGCACACACCTCATTCACCTGCTATGTCAAACAAAACTTTTTAAGTTCTTATTACTTTAAGGCCACAGTTTTAATTGATTGGCTGCCCCTCTCAGTCAGAAGATTTAAACAGCAGGTGAGTGTGGTCTCTCTACTCAGAGGGTTAGTTAGCAGCCCTTCTCTATGACATCATGTAGTGCCAAGAGTAAAACAAGAGATTTAGGGGTGTTGCAGGGAATACTTACACACACACTGATCACATTATTTAAAAGACTGACCCTGTAACACTACAGATATGACTGGCCCACTTGAACATGGCATTTTCAGGGATCTGAATTTTCTTTTTTTCACCTATTATAAAAAAAAGAATTACGACAGGCCTGTTCAGAGACCTCATGGTATTTGACCAGGTGGTTAACAGCAATCTGTGGGCTTTAAATCCAGTCAAAGTATTGCACATCTAAAGGCTGGCACTCCTACACCACAAGACCTTTGCAAGCTGCCCTGTGGGAGCAATGTCTCTCCAGCTCGAGTGGCCAGACAAAAGGTGAGCAGGCTGAGAGGGCGCTGCAGCATAAGCACCATCTGTCTGGGTTAGCATACCTCCATGGCAATCTAGTGAGCACAAGTTAAAAGTTCAGACAAAGCCTTCAATTTGGCCTCTTGCTTAAGATGCATCTGTGGCTGTTGCAGCCCCAGACAGGATATGTTAGGTCCCTGCAAGGCTTTCCGGTCCTGTGGAGGCAGTGCAGCAGTATGGCATGGCGCAGCAGATCAGTAAAGGGAACGGATGTTGGCTGTGAAGTTAATGTCTCGGCAGGGTGTTCAAGAGCAGGCTGTAAGGCATAATGGCCAAGGTGCAACCCACTGAGAGCTGATTGTGTGTCTGGGGCCCGGTCCTGCTGTCGTCTGTGTTCAATGGGATGTGAGTGTGAAGGAGTGCTGCTGCAGTTATGTTTGTTAGTAGTGCAGCAGCTGGTTTTGCATCCATAGAAGGAAAACTGCTGGAATCCTTCTGCAGTGCTGAAAGAAAGAAAGAAAGAAAGAAAGAAAGAAAGAAAGAAAGAAAGAAAGAAAGAAAGAAAGAAAGAAAGAAAGAAAGAAAGAAAGAAAGAAAGAAAGAGGCCACCTACTCCACCAGTATCGGATCAGTCTGAGGCCTATAAAACAACCTCTACTAAACCTCTACAAAGTTTAACTTTAGGCTTTGATTACACAACCTATGTTATGATTTCATTACCATAAATTGTGATTATGGCACCATAAGCACATTTTCCATATTAAAAAATGGGACTTTGTATTTTTGGCCCCAGTAGAGGCGAGCTCACAGATTAGAGTTAATACTTTTCAGCTGGTAGAAAGGCAGATGATGGTTTCATTGGCCAGTCAGGATGTCTGGACACGGATGTAGGAGCTAGAGATCTGAGTGGACAGAGATGAGTTTATGATCTCTTAATAACCGTATTACGTCACAAAAGGTTGACAGACTCCTACTGGCTACTGTTATACTAAAAAAGGCAACCTATTCGTGTGTGTTGATGTCTCGTCTTGCTTTTTATTATCTTTATTGTACCCTAATTTCACAGTCAGCCACAGCACTCACTCTATTTTTATTTTAATCACTTCCTCCTATCCCTTTTCCTCTACCTGTGATAATAAGTTTCTCTCCAGGCAGCTGACATGCGGGTAGTGAGGAGCTGCATGAAAAGACTGTGTGATGGATTTGTCCATTAAAGCAAGCTGAGCTAAAACCCGCGGAGTCCCTCTGGCTGTCTATCCGTCTGACTTTATACGTTTCTCTCTCTTTTTCTTTTGCTCTTTAATGCAGTCAGACTCTCTAAAAAAACACACACACGCACAAACACCACTCAGTATTTCCCCTGCTGTGAGGCAACAGCTGTAACATTTGCTTTCTTTTAGCAAGAATAATACACCTTTTAAGTAAACACCAATGAGTCACCACAGGACTGTAAGGCTTACACACACTCACTCAGTTCCACCCCAACACTAAAATGGCATCAGCTACATTCTTTCAAAATAAGTGTAATTTATTTTGTTTGTAATTAAACTTGATTGCTACATGTCCTCATGCAGGTAATGTTGAAATAATCCCGCTTAGAATTCACAAAGAACCAAACATTTGTGAGAAAGGTCAGCTAAACGGAGGACTGTTAATGATCCATGGTCTTGTCCAATATCAGGTGCCTGTTTACAGCTGAGCCACCTTTTCTGAAGTCATTTCACCCAAACCTTACCAAACCTTCGCTGTAGTCTCGGTTTGCTTGGCTGGCATCGTCCTCACTTGCAGAAGGTCCAAATGAATTAGCTGCAGTGCAATGCCAGAAAGGTCCAGGTTTCCCCCACCTCCCATGCCAAGCAAGACATCCCCTGTGTGGCTTGGAAAATTAAATCAGCTCATGACTATGTAATACCAAGTAATCCAGTATTTATGGAACATTTATTGAGCAAAACCTGGGAAGGTTAATGATGGGTACTTATGGGTGCAGGGTGACTGTGAGAGAGGCAGATCTCTATGTGTGCATGTGTGTGTGAGAGAGAGACAGTGTGCATAAAGGTATGCACTTATTATGGGCCTCATGTCACAGAGAAGAAGACAGGAGTCTGTATACTGGAACAGACTGTCAAAAGACCTGCTAGCTCAATAAAAAAAAATACATTGATCTAATCATTGACTGTCTTTCTTAGCTGCTGTACAATCGTACACTGAAAAAGCCACCGCAGTTTCAGGAAAAACTCAAAATAATATGACTCAAACACTGCTTGCCAGAGGGTTTAGGATGAACACAGTTATCAGCTCCATCCACATGCAGCTGAGCACTCTACTGAGCTCTGAATGCTCTTATCTTCAGCAGTCAATTAGGCTATAAATGCTCATTTTGGTTGAATGAGCATGATCCTTAATGGGTCTTAATCTAATTCCTACTTGTGAAAAAACAGACGTTTACTATGGCTCTATTTCCCAGTTGTGGATGTTTTTTTTCTTTGCTTTGTTTCCAGCTGACAGGGATGATATGGGTGAAAAGGGACAGCTTGAAGCGGCAGGGATTATAATTAGATAATTGTACTTGTGTGCGGTAGTCTCCTGTTTAGTCTCAATGGAGCAGAATATGCAGACGAATAATGAATACTAAATAAATTACGTCTCCTCTGCGAGGAAACGCGGTTTGTTTTCTATTATACATTAGCGCCATCTAGCGGACGGCCGTTTCATGCGGAGGAAGTGACGTCGTCTGAAATTCTTACCAATCAGCAGTCGAGGCTCTCAATTCGAACGGCAACTCTCGAGGACGGAGGCTGCGATAAAAAAATTATTATTTTGTTTCCTCATTTTAAGCGCTAAATGTGTTTTTTGCTCGAGTGGAATCATATAAACGGATTGTGTTGGTGATTTAAATATTTATTCCGGTAGGTTTCATTTGGTGCTGTTTTCGAATACAATGCCAGACTGCAGTTAGTGAAAAGTGCGTTGACAAACGTTAACGGCTAGCTCGCACATTAGCTTCCTCGTTTGTTTTGCTCCGATATACCGTTTTGCTACTGCGTTAAACTTTTGAACTGCACACTGAACTTCGCCGTAATAACCGATCCCGAGTCATGGTGAGAGAACGGACCCAGAAGAAGTCCTTCCAGCAAAGTCTGGAGGACATCAAGGAGAAAATGAAGGAGAAGAGGAACAAACGTCTGGCTAGTGCATCAGCCCCCAGCGGGGGCCGGTCAAGGATGATGAACAAAACAAGTGGTAAGTAAATAATCTTTTGTCAATTCTGCCCACCCCCCAATAAAGTTACCTAATAGAATAGAAAAAATTTGTTGTTATTGAAATAACGAGATTGGGAATGCCTCTCCAGTTTGCTGCATCCATGTTAAACCCACATTCTTGCATTTACTAATCCACGAAGTTACTGAAACACACTATAAGATTGTTTAAAAAAAGGTAGTTGGAACATAAAGCTCCTGGGTCAGCTGATTTCCAATCTGCAGGTGAAGATTTCTGGCATGGGGGATAAGTATAATAAATAAACAGAATGTAAATATAAATTCGTTGTGGTAATAGAAATAGAATCTGTGAAACCCAAGTTTTTAATGAGTGTCTGCCTGAGGGCTGCAACTCAAACAGATTGTGGCCAGGCTGAGAGCTGTCATTTACAGCTGTGTTAATGGCCTTCAGTAGAGCTTTTTTGTCAGCAGCTGAGCAGCCAGCATACCACACTGTGAGACGGTGTGTTAATATTCTGATAATGATGCTGACATTTACTGGATTCCGTTTTTCTTTTCTCAGGAAGTACCTCCACGCACACCATCCTGATGGGTGTGCAGGTGAACAACAAGGCGCTGGCTGTGGCCTTGCAGGCTGAAAAGGAGAAAGTGAGGCAGGCTAATGCAGTGATCCTGCAGCTGAAAAGAGAGCAGCAGGCACTCTTCCTTCACCTGCTTCTGCTCAAGAGAAAGCTGAAAGAACAGGAGGCTCTGCAGGCGAATGCTTCAGAGGTACGCACTGTCAGTTGTCAGATTTTTTTAATTTTATTTTTTAAATTAGGAATGTCCTAAGTTATTAGTAGACCATATGAATTATTTTGAGACACTGCACTTTGAATGTAAAAGAAAATGTATGAATTATTTATTTGCTTCGTTTAGACTAAACCTTCTACTGATGCCAAGCACAACATGCATTCAGTTAGGTAAGGTTTTAAAACTTAATGACTTACATAAAAAATGTTATATGCCTTAAACTGAGTGAAATATTGAGATTTGCTTCCTCTTAAATTACAGAAGAAAGCGGACCAGCCAGAACCTGGACCACATCATCTGTGAATCTTCACCAGTTTGTGCAGGTATGCATAAAAATACTTCAATATCCCAGATTTTTTGTTATGTATTATCCATGACTGTTAACTTATTAACCAAATATATTACTTATTGGAGGTCTTTCTTTTAATATAGTAACTTTGGACATTGTCTCAATCTTATTCTTCTGACATTTGCATCTATCTTAATCCTACAGTCAAGACATTGAAATTATTTAATGTGTGTGTGCGTGTTCGTTTGTTTCTTCATAGACCCTCAGCTCTCTAACAAGAATGGGGATCCTCAGTGTGAAAAACAGGTGACCTTGCCATCTACAGTAGGAGTGCGGCGTCAGCGTACAGATAAAAACAGGAGGAGGTCTGAACGTTTGCAAGAACAGAGGATTCTGGGTGAGGAAGGTCCAGTTCCTGGCTTTGGGTCTTGGATCCCAAGTCCTATTCGCAGTGACAGTGAAAATCTCAGTCAAATGCAAAAATTAGAAGAACAAGAGATGGCAGATCCAGGTTTCGCTGAGGAGTTACAGCACTCTACTCCTGAACCAGTGCCACCCAAAAAAAGCAGACAACAGGTCGCCAGGAAGCAGACACAGCAACAGCAGCTGTCCTCCAAACCAGAACCGGTTTCAAGAAAACCCGAGAGAGGGCGCAAACCAGAGCGTGCCCCATTAAAGAAACCATGGGAGAATACCAAACCCAGAACCAGGTCAAAGAGTCGGGACCGATCAGCCACACGGGCCAAAACGGCACCTCCAGCACAGGGCAATAAACTCAACACTTCACTGGGATTTAATGACACATTTGACTTTGACTGTGAAGAGACCGTCCACATCACGCCATTCAGGGCCAAGGCTGAGGATAATCAGCGAATTACACCCTTGAGTGAGGAGGCTCAAGAAACAGGACAGGCCCAGGCTGAAACTTCACCTGTGATTTCCAAGCACAGTGAATCCAGCTCTTCATCTCCATCTTCTGAATCAGAAGACAGCCTTTATGTTCCTCACAAGACCAGACAGAGACCAGCTTCCCCTAACAAGACCAAGGGCATCACCACTCGTAGAGGCCGGCTCTCCAGCGCAGTCAGAAAGACGGAAAACATCCCTCCAAAACCAGAGATCACTGGTAAGCATTTAGATTTGTTTTTAATCTCAGCTTTTGTTTAATTTTTTATTTGTTGTTGGTCTCTTTTTTCTTTAACATTTGATAATTGAAGACGTTCTGGTATTTTATTGAATTTTGTTTTTGTAGTCTTCAGAGATGAAGAGGCAAGTCCCAAGACTACAGGCTCTGAAGAGGCAGCAGGTCGCCTCGATCAGTCACCTGATTTTAGCTATTCTAACAGCCCTGACCCTGTAAAGATAGAACATAATTATCAAGGTAGGTGTTTAATTTGTGCCATTAAAAAACTAATTAAACAAAAAACATAATAAACATAAACAAAAAAGTATGAAATGGTAATTAAACTGTGTGTGTGTGTGTTTGTTTGTTTGTTTGTTTGTTTGTTTGTTCTGGTGCTTCAGAGGCTCATGGAGAAGGAATGGAGAATGATTGTTTGCTTCCCGTCAGCCCTCTGATTGAAGCTGAGATGATGAGAATAGACAATGTCCTGTCCAATTTTGGAGATTCCTCCGGTGAAGCTCCACCACTTTTACCCCACCAAACTCCAAAGAGGCTCAAATCATGCAAGAAACGTAAGCTGTTACAGGATTCAATCCAAAACTGCATGTCCAGTTTACACATCACTGTGGAAGTGTTCTCTTTCTGATAAATAACCTTTTGTTGCCAACATCTTTGAGCACAATGGGCTGGCTGATTCACCTTTTTGTTGTGTTGCACTGGTGTATGCGTGTGAATTTACCCGTTTCCTTTTTCCTCTTTCTCACGGGTCACGTTTTCCTTCACATTCCTGCAGGTGGGCTTGGTGTAAGGCCAGCAGGGCGGGGCTTGAGTCTGTGTGATGTGACCAATCTGTCCCCTGCAGCCTATCGTAAATTTTCCTGTGGAGGCTCGTCTGATTCTCGATGCTCCACCCCCGTTCCTATCCGCAAGCGGCGCTGCACCATGGCAGTCAACTACAAGGAGCCCTCGTTGCACGCGTAAGCTCAACGCTCTCTACCGCACGTGGTTCACTGTGTTTTTATTTTCTTTGTTACTGCAAGAAAACTCAACATTTCTCCTCAATAGGAAACTTCGGCGGGGAGATAAGTTCACAGATGTGCAGTTCCTCCGCTCTCCAATTTTCAAGCAGAAGCCTGGCAGGAGGTCTGTGCAGAATCCAAGGAATTCAAGGAGCGAGCATCAGCCGTTTGAAAAGTACAATGAGTCTTTTGTTGGGTGTCGCTGAAAGTTGTTGCCTGACTTTGAAGTGATTTTTAATTTAGTTTTTTTTTCTTGTATTACTGTCAGTGAGATTTCTTTGTGATAAAGAACAACTGTGATAATTTTTATATATTTCTTTATGTTTATGTCTCTTAAGCTTTCATTTCTGTTATTTGTCTTTAGGTGAATGTAGTATTAGCCTTCTCAGATTTCCTAATTTTGCCATTTCCCAATTTTAAATTGTTTATTATGAATTCTTTAAGAAGTTTGTTTGTAATTCTGCTTATGTTTCTTCTACTGTATGATAATAAACACCATATAAGCGTTTACACATCATTGTGACAGGTTAATATCTGAACACAACAAGTTTGGGCTTAACTCAATGAGGTCTGGACATCAGTTTTAGTGTTGTGTAGTTGCAAAGGAACACTGGCCATGCAAACCATTTATAGTCTGGTTCTCATCAAAGCCCTGTTTCGTTTTTTTGGGCCTGAGAAACTCAGCTGTGTTTGCAGCTGAACCCAATTAAGGCTAGCAAGGTCTTTGCGTAGGAAAAAGTGCACACACGCAATTAGCCTCACTTCTGTTTTATTCAGTCTATAAAATAGGCTAATGCTATGTCACTGTAGAAAGAGCATGAAATTATCTCTCCAGACATTACAAAAGGTATTTTTTTTTTCTAAAGCTTGAAAAGTACAAACACCTTTTTTTACAAAACAGTAAAAGTACATAGTATTGCACAATCTTTTCGTTTATCTCCAAAGTATAAAGTTATCAATCTCCATCTGCCGGACAAAAATAAGAAATAATAAATTAAGAACTTGCCTTAAGTATCATTCTTCTAAATTACAGCACATAAATAAGAATATACTCTAGATAATTAAATTAGTCCTTAGTCAACAGTGTAATTTCTATGTAAAACAAATTCTAAAGGAAAGGAGATGCTCTCATTCATGTTAACTAATACTTGGAAAAATAAAAGTGCATTTTGATAGTCAAATTGCCCTACGTGACACGATAAAAGCAAAAGATTGGGGGTTTTTTTTGTTGTCCTTTTTCAGTTCTGGGAAAGAAAATATATGTTATATACACATTTAAAATGTACAGTGGGGTATAAGTGCATTAAAATCTGTACAAATTTAAAGTATGTATTCCTCTTTTGGCAGGATGAACTCTTCACAGACAAACTTTGACTTCATTAACGTCATGCGTGCTCACAAGAGTAGAGTTTTACAGACAGGAAAACTTGGACTCTCAGTCCCTTTTCTCACAGGTAACACTAATGTACCGCGCATGCGGCAATTCCTCATGACATCTCTACCTGAGTCAACTGAGAGGAGGAGGCAGACACAGAAAAGGCAGTATGAAAACAAAGATTAAGTAAGATGGGTGGTTAATCTCTGATCAGCTGTCATGATACACTGCTTTCAGCACACAAACAACACCTGCTCTGCTTAATGTTTTACTACTGCTCTTCTTTTCTTTCCATGGGCCTCTGAGACACATGGTCAAATACAAAAACTACAATGCTTTTGTCTGGAAACGGAAACAGTCTTACAGTTCTTAAATGAGGCCTTCCCCTTGTGACCCATCTTTCAGGGTATTCTAAGCTACTGATTTATGGTCTAGGCCAGCAAGCATCAAACATTACAAAAGTGTTCATCCAAGACCCGTTTGCACCTTTTACATTAAGATATGTTTCTGAAACCTATCTACTCCAGAATCAGTAGTCGTGTCCTTTGCTTTGCTTGTCTTTTGCATTGTCTAAAACAATAGTTCATTGTCCCAGGACACCCTCATCCTTGTTCAGGTGAAGACAAATCTCTTCCTCTGGTTTACTTCTCAATTAGGCCCGCCTCTTTGATCTTAGTGTAGAAGAACTTCTCCAGTAGGTTCGCACACTTGTAGTACTCGCTCTCTGGAGGGTTGTATTCACGACAGTTTGTGAAAATTCGCTGCATGTCGGCCATAAAAAGCTTCCGTGTCGTGTAGTACCGGCTCTTTAGACGCTCGCTCATTGTCTTGAGGTCTGTAAAAATGTGAAATTTCAATTATGATACCTTTCAGTGGTTGGATGAGTATAGCATTTAACAAATAAACCCCACTTAGTTCATGCTTTAATGCCAGCTGAATAACAACAGTAAAAGATGTGGACTTTAATTAGAAATGATCTGCTGTCGTACCGCAAAACAATGTACAACTATGCAATGACTAGTGCAGACAATTAGTAATACACAAACTGTAACTCATCTCCTCCCCTTTAAGACAACTGTGCCTGTTAACACACGTACCCATGGGGAAGCGTATGACTTGGTAGTACCCAGGTGCTTCTGTTTTTTTCACAGGCTCCATAAAAGGCCAGGCATTCTGGTGACTCTAAAACACATAAAGCAGTCCTTTAAGAAAACTGTTTGTCTGTGTATGTGTGTGTCAGATGTAGACCACATTATACGTGTCTATCCCTCACCTTCACATGTTGGAGGATAGTTTTCAGAGTGCTATACAGTTGATCGGGGTCTTTCAGTTCTTTCCTGAAGAGTGAAAAATGGTAGAAAAAAACGATATAAAACTGAGGCTAGCTAAGTGCTATTTCCAGATGTGCATGCGTGTTATTATTGCCTGCAAATTTTTGTCATAAATGAAGGCCAGAGACAATGTCTGACTGTATCATTGTTGACAAAAATGATCAAATATATAATGTGAATACATTAGCCAAATCATTAGTGGAGCATCTTACCCTTTGCCCACAGGCTTCCAGCCAGTTTCACCTGTTGATATAAATAAACTAATATTACACTCATACACCAGAATGGAGTCATTCTCTAGTCACCAGAGGAAGAATAGGTCAGCAACTTCCGTGTAACCACAAAAAAAGAAATTTTTTTGGAAGTAGTTGGATGACCAATTAGTTACGCAGAGGTTGAGCGTGTTGCACTCTAAACCTGGCAAAAGTCTGCAATGAATTCCCATTTAATTGGAAAAAAGATAGACTCTAAACAACTTGCAGTCAGTCTTTGCAATAGCAGACATGATGCTGACTCAGTCTTATTGCTGATTTCTCACTGTCCTGACACACCAATGTTTCTATAGAGATGTTAGCTGACTGGAAGTGGTTTACAATCTGGTTCCCTTCTTCAAAGCAACCACTTCAAAGGCAGGCACATAGCGAGCTGAGTGCAATAATTTTGGTTGCCCTGCAGTCTCCAACCACTGTTTTTCTTGTGTGACATTGCAATTACTGCTTGTCTTGTTGCCACAAAACAAATTCAAAAAATTCATCATAATTCTTGCATTCACGTGCAACCTGCTCTAGTCCTTGGCTGGTAGCCATACATACGGAAAATAACCACCCATCCAGATTTCATAGAGAACAGCCTTTAAATCCAAAAAGTATTTGATTAATTAGCTTTTAGTTCTGCCTAACCTGTCACTCCGAGGAAATTAACAAGGTTGATGGTGATTATAGAGGTAGATGTACGATAAAGCCCATAAAAACCCAGTAGATAATATAACCAATAAGTTGGACAGCTTAATTGCACAGGATGTATGTGGTAAGTGGCCTACTTTCCTCAGCATTAATGCTGTAATGGCAATCATTACTTTTTAATGCCAATAATCTTGTAATGTATCAAGCTACTTTTAAAAGCCAAGGTTACCCAACACTGAAAAAGAATAACATACGTATGCCAGGAATGCTCTCAATGGGAATCTGCCGGACTCCATCCTTAAAACAGGACAGCCCTGGATAGACTTTTCTGATCTGAGCCTGTTTCCTCTCAATCAGCTTCTTGATTATCTGAAGGCAACAAATGAGAAAAAAATCTTAGTTGAGGGGACAGAAAGAAGCATTTAGATCAATAAAATATTAAAGAGTTCATTTAAAAGTCACCCACACACCTCTTTCTGCTTCTTGATGATGACAGAGAACTCTGTGTAGGGGATGCTGGGGTTGAGCTCACAGCCCATGAGTGTGGCTCCTTCATAATCCTTGATGTAACCCACATACTTGGACTTGGGAACCTTTATGTCTTTTGAGAAACCCTGATAAGGAGGAAGTAATAATTTATCCTGGAGCTGCCACGCACTGCCTCTATTTATTATATTATTGTTACTAATGGCCGTTATTAATGTTACCTGTTTCTTAAAGTACCCAATGGCGTATTCATCAGCGTAAGTGAGAAAATTGAGGATTTCATGCTTTATGTGATATTCTTTCAGGTGGTTCATCAAATGTGTTCCATAACCCTGCAACCACACAGTCAGACCAGGAAAGGGTTCAGATATCACTGAATACCCACCAAGCTGAGAAATAAAGCTGGGCACGCTCTCACCTTGACCTGCTCATTGGAGGTGACGGCACAGAAGACAATCTCTGTGAAGCCTTGCGATGGAAACATCCGGAAACAGATCCCTCCGATCACTCTCCCGTCCTTGATCAGGGACAGCGTTTTGTGTTTCCTACCAGAAAAAAAGATGAATTTTACAGAGGGAATCTGCTTCTCTATAACCCTCTGAACTTAAGGTGGGACGATGAGGCAGAGTTACACTCACGGATCGAACACCAGCCGCGTGATGTACTCCTTGGGCATGCGGGGAAGCTGATGGGAGAACACGTTCTGAAGGCCGACGAGCCACATCAAGATCCTCTTGTTGGGCTTCTGGTTTAGGGAGTTCCCAATGACGTGGAATTCAATCACGCCCCTGCGCTCCTCCAGGCGGGCGGCTTCGTCACGTGCAGAGTGAGCTGATAGCAGGCTAGTCTGCACAGACAGGAAGGTATCAAATAAATCATGGTCCAAAATTTGCTGTGATGTGCAGAGGACTTGAACATTTTGTGCAGGAACAATTAACCTACGACTAAAAAAAATAAATGAAGTGCTATACAGACACATTATGGCAGCTTGGAAGGAGATTAAGACCAATTACCATGAGATCTGACACTGACAGCAAAATGATTAGGCTGGAAGGATGAGAAGATTTACAATTATCTAATGACTTTAATTCTTTTTACTCTTGTTATAAAGTGTCAGCCTGGAAAATCTGATAGAGGCTGTGGGTCTGGATGGTATCTGTGAAGATTACATAACTGCCCTTTGCAAATCTGCAGTGCCTTCTTATTTCTCTTAAAAATCCAAGACTTGAGTCAGATTGAAAAGCATCGCAGGTGATGCCAGTTTCAAAATAAACTAGGAGTAACCCCAAAACAACTGAAGAAGAGAGCACGGGCCATTTCCGTTTATCTTCACTTGATTTACAGATGTGAGACGTCTTGACTGACAGAAAGGTTTCAAGAAAACAGCTGTGTATCAGAAGCTGGAGT